TCTTAAATGTAGCTAGCTACCTGCCAGTAGTTCTTCGTCTCGCGGACACTAGAGGTCTCCGGAGAGGTCGACGAGTGGCACCTCTGGCACTCCAACGACGAGGTGCCTCACTCCACCTATAATTTGGCGCGTTATCTACCACCGCTACAAGTCCAGACCAGAGTGTATCAAGCAAGAACCGTGTAAGTACCGTGTTTTGAACTAATTTCAAACAATACGTATGTTTGAACTGAGTTCGAAGCACGGTATAGTGTAGAGAAATGTATAACTTTCCGAAAAAAATACTAAACTAATTAAAGATAGCGTATTTGAAATTGATTTCTGAGTAAAGTTTGTGATATGCGGTTATTTATGGTGAAAAGCATGTGTTAGCTGTCGTATATTGCTGCGTGGCCATAACGTGACAATAAAAATAATAATTCAACTTTATTTTAAATAATGAGTCTAGACACGGTAGGAATTAAAGATTTAATAGGAACAGTGGCAAAGTTTAAATTTTATCTATGTGATAAAATTACACAATGGTCAATATAATATGACAGTAGCATCAAGCCGTCATCCCTTGTGATGAAACTATTCAATGTCATGTCTTTAAATATATTCTTTTTCGAATTATTAAGGTATTCATTCATTCGATCAACAAGAGCCGATTTTCTTTTCGTGAATCCATGGATTCACCGTGCGGGTACCGGATCCATCGTGTAGGAGAGAGCGAAACTCTGAGCAGTGGACTTGTGACCCCGGTGTAGGTTTAAGGAGGCCCCTTTTAAGATGCGCGTCAACGCTCATTTTCACTGTTCGGGTTGCCTGCCCTTCCTAGCCATATTTAATAGGAGCCTGTTAGTACAGCCTTAGTTACTCGTTCCAAAATTGAACTTACTGCAGCTCTCGACTGGCCTCTAGGTCTTTTAGAAGGTTATAGAGAGATTTTACTGGTTTACCTCCCGCTCCTACTTTTACCGCATATAAATTAACTAGATAGCCATTTCAGTTTTTAATTGGTAAGATCGTAATATTTATGAAATTTTATTGTGTGGTCTTTTGGAATGTTAGTTTCCCACGGTACAGTAATCTTTATTTTTGTGGTTAATCCTTATTGGGCTCTAGCCACTGCAAGACTTGCTGCTTCACGTATGACTTCAAGTACTCTATCATGGCGAGTATTGCCCCCCCCCCCCCTATCAAAGAGTACCCTGCAATCTTCCAATATGTGCCTAACAATACCAATTGCCTCACTGCCTCTGTATAAAACGATTTTTCAGAGGCTTTTCCCCATCTTACTAGGTTAATCTGATTTCGGAGGGTTATTTGGAAGGCATTGAGATGGAATTTTAGTGGAGCAGGAGACCAATCATGTAGTAAAGTGCGCCACTTTAGAGCTAATGGAATGCAGAACTCACCTATGATTAACGACTCACTTTGCATTTCCAAATTCATTGCGTGTACTTTATAGTTATCATTTTCGTCTTGTTGTAGGAAAGATTTTTAACTATGTCTTGGTCCTCATTTTTCTTTGCGGAACCCAGCCCGACTCTATTCACCTGTGCACATACATCATAAATTGTGTATGGAATTGAAGTCTTGACTCATTTGGCTTTTAGAAGTGATGAGTCTATTTCATCCTGGGTTTGTCCCAAAACATGCATCTTGGTGACTCTGAGATATTTATAGAATTCCGGTGGCTTCTTTAACTTCATTACAAAACTATTCTGATCTCTAAACAGAGTTGAAGGATCAGCTAAATGGGCTAGTCCAAGTCATTACTTCAATGTCTCTATGATGTTTGCATCCAATTTTGCCAAGAGGGTTTTACCAATGTCATATACAAGGAAAGGGTAAGTCAGACTTGACGTAAGATAGTTGTCGTATATCCAAAGTTTTTTTAATATTGCTTGCTGGTTGATCTACCTTATTTAAGTCATTAAGAAAACTATTGACAACTACTTCTAAAGATGGAGTACGTCCTTTGTGATCAATCTTTCTACCTAGAAATTTGAAAGGTGCAGCTTCAGCAACCGTGGTAACACATTGTCCTCCTATTGAGAGTTCGGGATTGTAAGTGGTATATTTGGTGTCTCTTTTATCAAGGCATAGACAGCAGCAAACACGCGTCACAATGACACAATGTGCATTCAAAAGTTGCGAAAATAACCACCAAATAAGCAATATTTCGGTCAGAGTATCTTACTTTCAGTAAGTACATTTAAAATACACTATATTTTATGCTTTACACTAATAAGTAATGTCATATTTCCAATAAAATCACAACATTTAAACCTTCGCTAAGAATATTTGACAACATTGGTACCAATATTTTGTCCAACATTTTTCATAAGGTTGATTTCACATTTTTATTTTTTCACCTTTATCGTTTTTTTCCAAGTATCAGAGATATACTTTATTTTTTTGTTCATTTTTTAAGAAAAAAGGTCGTATGTATGAAATGACATGTTGTTATTCGTAACCTTATTCTTTTGTGAGATAGTTGTTATTGGGTTCAACTTAAACTGTTTTAAAACATTTGCCTTTGTGCATTGGGAATCGAGTGTAGCTGCATCAAGTTTAAACATACGTGGACAGTTTTTAGCTTTATTTTTGTATGTAACCCGTTATGTATAGAATAGTAGTCGAAGTTTGAAAGCCAAAATGAAATCGTAACAACATACTGATAGAGTCAAGATAGTATAAGTATAATATAAATAGTCTTGCTTTAAACCAAAAATTAAAAAGTTTAATATAAATAAAACAAGACATAGTTAAAGAAAATATCAAGAATTTAAAGTAACGTAATGTTTGGCTTTAAGAATACTTAAAAATCAAACATGACAATGAATAAGATTTAATAACAGAAGGAAAAAAATCTAATACACAACTAAGAACTACAAAGGCTTCAGTGCAACAAATGAAGTGGTCAAAGACGTACACTTGTTCCCACTTTCCACTGATCGAATACACCCGACCAAAAATATAATAAAAGGAAGCTCTTTCAAGTCGTTCTGGTCCATTGCTCCTTTTGGCTCGTAGTGTACCGCTGAGCTTGAGCTTAGCTGCGGGTTCCACTCTAGAAAGCCCAATAAAAAGAATACCGTGCTCATTCGCTGCTTCGCTAACTATTGATTGGTAATGAAATCTTTCAGTAGATATCTTTTGTTGTGTGCTGCAGCAATATTGGCTCTTTAGTTATTATTACTCAGCATAAATACAACATGTATGTCTAATGCATGTCAAGCCATTGTAACCTTGTCTAAACTACTTTAAATAGCTACTTAAACATATATCTCAATGAACTTTCAAAGTATACATAATAGTATTATTTTCATTGAACGATAAAATTCAAAAGAAGGCAGTTTTACTTATTTAACTTATAACGTTTGTTACTAGTACAAGCAAAGCCAATTTTGAAAGATTATTGAAAATTACAAAAGCAACGCGGAGTTTCCAGTAATATTATTACGTCTCCTTGCCGCTATAAGTAATTTCAATTTCCTGACACTCTATCAAATTTCTTTAATAACGCCACGAGAAGGTATGTAAATAAGGAGCTTTTCACTGCTTGGGAGGTATTGCTACATTGTTATGAATAAATGAATCAATTAATTTGTCAGTCTCCGCATATTAATGGATGCGGAGGGAGACAATACAGTAAAGTTAATTATTGTAAATATTTGCTTAAATCGAGAGACTGATATGACACTAGTGAGGCGCTACCTGTTGTTAATGTGGAACACCGTGATTATGATGTTATTGATTTCCTCATAAGGGGCGTATAATATTATGACAAACGTAAGGTATCTTATATATTATGTTAAAATAATTTTTTAAGTCCCATTGTTTCTTCGTCAATTAATGTTAGATTGAGTGTTAAACGCATGACTTGTATATAGGACCTACCATAGGATTTGGGGCCTTTAGGTATAAACATGTGTCAGACATAACCAATCTTTAAAAAATTGTGTGCAAACAAACAGGGTTACTAATTAGACCTACAAATTTTACTGAGGGTCAAAAACAAACCGCGTATTTTTTACCAGATTTAATGAAGAGGAGTGAAATTCAGTGGGGGCATAATGCAGGACAAGAATCATCGGAAAAACCAAGAATTGTGTATGCGATCAATGATATTCCTTACCAAAAAGAGGTTGTTGAAGAGCAAAAATCTCATGTTTCGTGATGTTTCCAATATCATATCGGATGGGTATGTAATAAACATTTTCAAAATTGGTTTATTCGTATTCGTACGAAAAGTGTATTGAAGCTAAGGGAGAGTATTTTGAGAAACAGTTAGCATGACATAGTTTATTCATATTGGCAATACCTTCAATATGGGTTTTCCCTAAAGTTTCATTTCAAAACATTTATTTTGGCATGATATCACTAAGAAAAGAACAATATAGTATTCGATAAATAAAATAATAAATAAGAGTGTTCAATTTAACTTTTTAAAATACCATAATTCTATGAGTATTATTTAATAGCCAGCCTTTACAAATTAATGATGATAAATCATGATTAGATTATAATTTCAATGACGCCACCCCAGGGCTTATTACGATTACACTTACAAAGCAAATCTACGTGATGTAATCTAGACTCATTATAATCATTTATGATTTATTTTAGATGATGTTATACAAAAGTTACAAGTAGCTTGGTGGTAAGCATCAAAACAATGACCTGTAAAAATACATAAGAGTTATAGCACAGTAACAACATAAAAGTGGAATCGTGTGATTTAGGGTAAGTAAGAAACATTAAACTTAATCAAATATTTATAAAACGGACGTTTAAATTTCTTTGCCACGCGGTTGATAAAGAAATGATAAAAACTGTTTGTTGATTAACACGATTAAATGATAAGAACGCACATTTCAATCTTTTGTTCCACAAATTGAAGTTGCAGAATGAAATGTACAATTTATGTACCTATAGTATGTCATTAAATTGAAAGTATATAACTAATGTAAGTATGTGTAATGTGTGTCTGGTAATGAGGCATAGACCTCTTTGGATTTTCTCCACTGCTGGTCTGGCTAGAGCTGGTGGTGGTATTACTAAGCGTCGAGAGGTCGCTGGAAGCTCGCGCCGAGCGCAGTCGCGGCAGCACCGGCGCCTCGTCAACGTCCGGCGTGCCTGCCACCGGCTCGCACGCCCAGCCCAGAGCCCGGGCGGCTGACCACAACGCAAACACGAATGTTATCATCGTGCGCCTATCGCGCAACTCTCCGCCCGCGTGCCCGGCCTGCTCCCCGTAACACACGTGACGATCGCATAATTATGTTCAATGTTCACGCACTAATAATCTAAAGTCAATACCGGATTTGCACTGTGAACGGCATGAGAAGCACGTGCGGATCGCAACTGAGTGCTGTTCACGCGCGGTCGCGACTCCTACAGTACTGGGCTTGCTTAGACGCCGGCACGCGTTTTGAACATTGCACTCCCGTTATCATATCTATTATAGTTAATAACCGACGTCTAGATTTCTCGTTACTCATCGAATCAATCAGACGGTTCATTGAGGCGGTGAATGCTCCGACATTTGTAAAGGTTATCTCATATTACACACTGTAAGATCACCGGCGGGGGCATGTTTAAATATGCCGCTCGAGAATGATACGCGTGCGTGTTGATAATATTTATTTGAAGCGAGGAATCCGTGACGCGGCACTGTTGACGTTGCGCGGCGCGGGGAACGCGAGCGGTCGACGTCACTCATTGCTTGGCTCACCCGCGCCGCCACGGACTGAAAGGGCACGTTCTATATTTATAAAGTGACTAGCAATCACATCACTGGAACAGAATGGTAGTGCGTCATTTAACCGTCCAAGTTTTGAGAGATGTCACTTGTTGCACGCGCGATTTCTTCGGCGATCGCCGGCACCGGGTGCGCGAATCGATGGAACGAGTGGCGGTTGCAGTGCGGGCGTACGGCTCTAAGTGTATCGTACAGCAGAAAATCGTGTCAATTTCGTTTCGGATAAATGCAGGGCCAGGGAGCATCCTGCGGCTGCTCGGCGGCCATGTTGGTACCGCCATCTTGAAGGGGCGCGGGGTAGGAGCGGGCCGCATGCGTACGTACGCCGGCACGCAACCCTCGTGTAGGAAATGACGCAAGTGCTCCGCTGTCACTCGGAAGCAACGCTTACACCTTCGTCATAAGGAGCATTTTCTCTTACGGGCCGAAATGCGATTGTAGGTCACGAGAAAACTGTCAATGTATTCACTGAAGCTTGGTGCAAATCCCGGCAACCGATTTGAGTTTAATAGATTTTGGTTAAAGGTTATTGAAACGATAAGTGGCTATCAATAAATATTACAATATGGCGAACTTAAATTAATATCAATGGATAATAAAATTAAGTTGACAAAGCACTAAGTCCGCAGGCAGGCTGGCCAGATGGCCGGGAAATTCGGATGTGTCCTGGAATTTTGCGCCTTGTCCCGTGTCCAGTAATTAGACCTAAATACACTTACGTTCAGGGATGTGACGACTTACGCGAGGGGTGACAGAAGCACGTAAGAAGTTTTAATTCTGGAAGGGTGCAAATGTCCATGAATTGATCGACAGAACCCATATAAAGGCATTCGATACTGTCCTATATTTTGCTTTGATATTTTATTTCTCTGAGGGGGGGTGCAAATGTCCTTGGTTTTTAATAAAATTATAATAATGACTGTTTGAATTCATCTGGGAACTTTGGTATGCAAGAGAGTATTAGAACTATAAAGAAACTAAATTAACTATAATTAGATATTCATTCATTGTTATGGAATCCCATTTAAATGCGCTACTTAATATAAATAGGTACCACAATTGAAACATTTCTGTGATTGAACCAATAAAAGTGCATACAATTTTAAACATGATTATATGAATAATATAAAATTAAATATTACGTAACACATATATTTTTTACGTAAAGTTTTCCACTAGACTTGCAACGAATAGTGTATTCGGCAGTATACCGAATACCGAATACTCGGCGAGGCCCCTGACCGAATAGCCGGATGGCTACCGGCTGGATTTTAGCGCCAAAAACTTGTACAGACGTGATTGTTTCGCGCTCCTTTGTTTTGTTCTAATCTGCCGTCCTCAAGCTAAATGACAAAACCAACTTTTGAGATATGGCCAAAAACGGCGCGTAAACTTTAAATTATTGCTATTATGTAACCATTCATCACATGACTGAATGAATTAAATACTGTTAACTTGTTTAATACAGAAAATGATTAAATTATGTACCAATGACTACTTAATAAATGATTATAAAAGAAATGAGAACCTTACCCTTCTAAATTTTGATTACCATAATAATTCAAATACATAGAATCCTCCATTTTTTCAATTCAGAAGATGAATATGTACCTGTGTTATGTACCAATGACTACTTAAATGATTATCAGAAATGAAAATATGAATATATACGTAATCAATCGATTTTAAGTTTTCATTTTACCAATTATTTCTCTATGACAAAATATTTTATTTAAGTATTCGGTATTCGGCCGAATAATATGTAGATATTCGGTATTCGGCCGAATATAATAAAAGCCATTTTTACAAAACTACTGGCCGGAGTTGCTGCCTAGATAGATATATAGCTAATGACCTCGAAAGCCTTCCTGCCGGTTCCATGTTATAATTTAGGTAATTATTTGAGAGAAATAAATATTTCGCATTTTTAATAATATTAGTAGGATTTAAAATAGGCCTTAGACTTGTAAAGTGTCTAGCGAGACAGACTTAATAAAAACCTAAAAATAGTAATATATAATTTAAGTACCTAAGTGATTATAATTACAAAAAGACATATAAGACTTAATGCGTTTGGCTTTTACTACTACTGATTGTCAGAGCGTTAAAAAGCTGTTCCTCCTTGTGGTACCACAAAAGCGAAAACATTATCACTACATAGTATAAAGCAAAGTCTCTTTTCGCTGTCTGTCCCTTTTTATGCTTAGATCTTTAAAACTACGCACTGGATTTTGATGCGTTTTTTTTAATAGATAGAGTGATTGGAGAGGAAGGTTTATATGTATAATAAATGCATAATATAGTAGAGAAACACTGATAATTATAGAGGTTTTTAATGTAAGGTCGTAAACAAACACATTTTTTTGCGATTACATTGCAAACGCTGGCTGAACCCTACAAAATAGATCAAAATAATATTCTACAGTATTGTACACCTTAAATGGTCTACAAAAAAGTCCGCAATGGTATATGTCTATCTCTTATGGATAACCCACAATAACCTTTACGATAAATAATAGCATATTTACGAAGGGATTTTCAGCAATATAACATTCATCCTTAACCAATAAGGTACCTTAAATACATTGTGTATTTAATACAGATCAATTTGGCCCTTTAAAGCATGTAATTTAAATGAATATTTTCGAAGATTTAACAGATTTTAAAATGCAGGGACATACACACTACCGGGCGGGCGACACTACCGGGCGGGGGGTCTGGCGGCGCGTGCCTATTGTAATCTCTTATCTATTAGACAAGTCCGTCCGTCCGTCCGTCTGTGGTGCTGTTTCAGCGGCCAAACCGTAAGAGATAGATAAAGAGAATATTTAAGTTATAAGTTAAGAATAGTCTGATAAGACTACAAACCGGATTTGAGTAACGTAGTACTTCCGGTTTTCGAGAAATCACGAATTTCAAACGAAACCACACAAAATCTCCGAAGTTCTCAATTAATTAAATACATTTTTTTTAAATCAGGTTTTGGTGAGCATTTGGTTCACTGGTTTGCTAGTAAGGCATAATACAAGCCTGAGAACAAAAACTATAGTCTACACTTCAGCTCTACACCGAAGTGAAGCGAGGGCGGGCCACTAGTACAGTATATATTCATTATGCAAAAAGTTATCTTTATTTTTAATACCTATGAAATGTAATTTTAGAAAATAATTTCGGTTTGATAGCCCGTTCTCAATCAGTCCAGGACAACCTACGCTATATTTATATTTTATTTCAGTTCAGTTTAAGCACGTAAAAAGTGTAAGTAGGCCTTCGGCTGGGAATATATTTACAGCCCTCTCTTATTTATATCTTATAAGGTTGGATGAACTGTTATAAAAAACTGCATCTTCTTTTTTTGTTTATAGATGAATTGTTTTAGCGTCTCATTTCTAATTAGCTGCCCGACCAGCTTCAAACGACTGCAGTATAACTATTGAGAAATGATATTTCTGAATAGAAACACCATCCCCACTTTTTAATTTCTGCTGATTTACAGAGGATTTCCTAAAATATATTTGTTCATGCAAACCTTGCTCTGTGAATATGAATACCTATTCATATATTTTTTAAAGTAAGTACCTACTAACTTAAAAAAATATATGCATTTAGTGTGCATTCATCGAACGTTATTTGCGTACATAATTACATTTCGGCGATTCATTTTCATTTAAATAGAAGATGGATGATGTGCTTTAATGTGTTAACAAACATTTCTTAAATTACTTTGCCATTACTAAAAATATATAAACCTTAGAATAATAATTAAACCCTGTCATTTTATCCTCCAGTGTAGGTGTGAAATTGTGCATAAATACTTTTACGAATACAGTAATGTCACTGTACGAAAATATAGCATGAAGTCTGCCTTTGTACATAATCGTAATACATATAAATATATTCCTTCACGTCATATATTATACTAGCGGACTTAGTCCGCATTAAATGTGGATTTAAGAGAATCCCACAGGAACTTTACATTTTTCCAGGATAAAGAGTAACCTATGTGTCACTATATGCGTTAAATAAATTATTCTTAATAAATTATCCTAATTTCATCCTAATCCGTTCAGCTTTTTTTGCGTGATTGAGTAACAAACATACAAACTTTCACATACTTATATAATAAGTATGTATTAGGCGCGCGGTTATGTTATTACCTCGCACAGCTACCGGCGGCCGGCTAGCGCCCTCCCCCTCACGTTTGCTCTGGCCGCGCCCTTTTTTGGTTGCGGATGACCTTTACAGCGTCACCGGGTTTGGGGACGACGAGATCCTAAGGGGACCTGAAGTCGAAAATTGGCAAGTGCCTCTAGAGGTATTCCAGGTGGATGGCATCTCCCCACGGGGGGAGTCTCCTCTCCGTCTGGAGCCTCTAGACCACTCGAACCTGAGAAGTCGGCTCAACTAGAGGGCGTCTCTGAGACTCGAACCTCGGCTCTGTCGTC